AATTTTTGTATGAAATGTCAAAATAATATGCAAAAACACTGGTAAATTTTTTTATTGCATAATTTTTCTCTTTTTGCTGCTTTAACTAGAGTTCCTATATATTTTTTAGGTCATTTTGTTGTGTTTTTTGTGATAATTTAGTTATAATTTATTAAAAAAATTTTTTTTCTTGTAAATATTTTTTTAAATTATTTTTTACATTTGAAATATATTTTTTTAATAGAATCCACAAATTCAAGAAAGGGACTAGTTTCTTGTAAATAAATGCCACTAAAACGTATTTTCCACAATTTTCAAATAACTTTTTTTCACATAGAGTCCTCGAATTTTCTTATTTTAAATTTGTAATAAGACTTGAGGTTTTCTACTTTGTTTTGACAAAATTCTACTTTTGTAAAAAAACGTGATAAAAAACGCGGAAATGTCACATTTTTAGATATATTTTGCAATTTTCTACTTTGTTTTGATCAAATCTTTGAGATTTAGTTGTTTTTTTTTTTTGAAACAATAAATAAACAATTTCACCGATTTCTGGAGACAAATATTTTAAAAAATTGTTAATTTTTAGTTTTTATGTTGCCCTAACTGTATATTTTTTAGGTCATGCCAATTTATCATTAATTGAAACCAATGGTTATTTTTTTCATGTGTTTTTTTCTTTTTATTATTTTTTACAATAATGAAATATGTTTTTTTTTAGTAGTCCCCAGATTTTTTATTTGTTTTACTAAGAAACGTCAAAATCACATCCAAATGGTGATTTTTTTCTTATTTTTTCTTTTCCTTTTTGTTACTGTTTTTTGATATTTTTAAAATATTGAAACAAAATTTTTGTTTGAAATGTCAAAATAATATTAATAGTTACAGTAGTAATTTTTTTTATTGCATAATTTTAATTTTTTTGTTGCTTTAACTAGAGTTCCTGTATATTTTTTAGTTGATTTTGTTGTGTTTTTTGTGATAATTTATTTATAATTTATTGAAAAATTTTTTTTCTTGTAAATATTTTTTAAATTATTTTTTACATTTGAAATATATATTTTTTAATAGAGACGTAGTTTCCACAATTTTCAAATAACTTTTATTTTCACACAGAGTCCTCGAATTTTGTTATTTTAAATTTGCAATAAGTCTTGTGGTTTTCTACTTTGTTTTGACAAAATCCTACTTTTTACTTTGTTTTATTAACAACCTTCAAAAATTATTGAGTTTCTGCGTAAAAAACGTAAAAATTTATACTTTTATAAGTTTCTCGTTGAAAACCCCTACATTTATAAAAAAATTATATGTTTTTAATCAAATTCTGCAATTTTCTGCTTTCTTTTGACAAAATCTTCCGAATTTACTGATTTTTTTTGCATAACTCTAAAAAAATAACGATCTCTAAGCAAAGTTTTGAAATAATCAACTTTTCTTTTTTTTTACTTAGTTTTAACAAAATCTCAAAAAATTAGTGAGTTTCTGTGTAAAAATACGTTCGAAATTTATAAAAAATTCTAAATTCATGAAAAGAATAAAAAGTAAGTATTCAGAACCCATATTTTGCATTATTTTACTTTGTTTATGCAATTTTATAAGTCTGTCGTTGAAAAACACTCTTAAATTTAAAGAAAAATAACATATTTTGAATAAAATTTTGCTATTTTCAGTTTTCTTGTGACGTGACTGTAAAAATTGCTTTATATTTACAAAAAACTAAAAAATAACCCATTTCCAAGCTAAATTTTTGAATAAATTTTGCTTTTTTTTATTTTATTATAGCAAAATCTCAAAAAAATTGCGAGTTTCTACGTAAAAAACGTTCAAAACTAATAAAAAAAATATTTTAAGTACATCAAAAGAATAAAAAAAATTCCAAGGCATATTTTGCATTATTTTACTTTATTTATGCAAAATTTTTATAATTTTATTGAATTTTTTTTTTAAATTTAAAGAAAATAACAGGTTTCAATCAAATTTTGCTATTTTACGTTTTCTTGTGACGAAAATTTTATGTCATTAATTTTTTGTGTAAAAATCGCTTTAAATTTACAAAAACATAAAAAATAACCCGTTTTTTACTTTGTTTTACCAAAATCCCAAAATTTTTTTCAATATATTGAAATTTAAAAATTTATTAAAAAAAAGGGAGTCTATATGAAAATACGAAATCAATGGTAATTTTTCCTTTCCTTTTTTGTTATTTTTTACATTTTCAAATTATTGAAACACATTTTTTGAAGTAGAGTTCTCAATTTTTTTATTTTAGGGTTTCTATAAGAAGTGTCAAAATAATATACAAAAACCCACTAATTCAAGAGAAAGACTTTAGTTTTTTGTGAATTATTCTGTCACTAAAAGGAATTTTCTGCAATATTTAAATATTTTTTTTTGTAGTCCCCAAATTTTGTAATTTCAAATGTCCATATATTTAAAATGTCAAAATTAAATCCAGGGACTCTACTTACGAAAATTTGAAATCAATTCTTGTTATTATTTTTTACATTTTCACTTTTTTTCTTGCGTAATTTTAATTTTTGTTGTTTCAACTAGAATCCCTGTATATTTTTACGTCATTTTACCGTGTTTTTCACTCACTTCGATCCTGAAAATCTGCAGGATGCTTCCTCCGGGATACAGGATTTCGTACTTCTCCGCCTCGCTCCTAACCGGGATTAATTCCTTGTTTTTGGTCCAACTATAAGTGTATTGGTTGTTACTCTCGCCCATGCTGATGCACTTAATAGTCAAATTTTCGCCCTGCGGTAAGTAAGTCGTCAAATCGGCGCCCTTCCCCACTCAATAATAGCTTACTTTCCGCACGGTGAGACTCATAGGTTCGACTTTAATAACCGGCGGTGCTTTGATGGCAACTCTTCTCGAAAGGCATTGTTGGATTCCGAAATCCTCGACTTGGCACGTGAAAGTGCCGCTGTCTAAAATATCGCTCCTTGAGACGCCCAACAACGCCGTGTATTGATCATCCGAATGGGGGTACTTTATAAGACGGCTCCATTTGTGACTGAAAAAAATTTTCAGGGATTTCGGTGAAATTAAACGGAGTGTAATTGTTTTCGGATTGTGGGCGAGGAATGTGCGGAATTTAGATTAAGAAAGATTAAAATATGACAGGGATTTCGGGAATAGCAATGAAACGACAAATCTGGCGCTTGAGGGCGAAATAAGTTTACAGCACGAAGCGAAGCTGAGTGCTTTAACAAAACTGAAAATAAAGTTTTTGGCCGACTACAAATCTTTGGTTAATTTATATTGAAAAAAAAAGTGTGTGGTATTAATAGACTTTATTTATTATAGAGTATACAGAGTGTCCGGAAAATCGCGCACTTCCTTGCCTTCCTTGAAAGAGAGTAATTGAAAAAATGTATAAAAAATTTGACATTTATTTTTTGACTTTTGACATTTTTTTATGTGTATTTGATGATACTAATGATCTTGTTTATGTTTTTTTAAAATCATTTAGTTAAGATACAAAAATTTTGGCCACAAATAGCATTGAACAGAGTTACAGTTTAGGATACAGCTCCCTGTTTTCAGCAAAAAAACTTGGAAAATTATTTTTCCAACAGAAAGTGCAAAATTTAAAGTCTTATAACTTTGAAATTTTAACATATATATATTTTTTTAATTTTTTTTGTTGATGAGGTGCGCGACTTTCCGGACAGCCTGTATAATTTTTGACACCTGTCAAAAATGTGTAAACATGTCAAAATTATATGAATACAGAAGTTATAAAAAAAAATAAGTGTACGTAGTGGATAATTATACTTGGGGGTGATTAAAGTTACGTCGAAATATTGACAATCGACGGAAATATGTTGTCAATAGCTATATATTAAGTATACGTTGCTTATAATTATATTTGGATGCGACTAAAGTTATTTTTCTCAGTTTTTGGGTTGGGATTTTAGTTACCTTCAAATAAATAATTGACAAGGTAATTTTTGTAATCACTATTTTTATTATTATGATGAGTTTAAAAGATAAATATAAAAAAAAGGACGCAACTAGGAAGAAATATTTTAAAAATAACAATTTGAATTAAAGTACAAACACATAAGATAAAAAACTAAGTGGGAGAAAATAATAAAAAAGTAAATAAAAAAAATTGGATGTGGCTAAAGTTAAGTAAAAAAATTAGCTTTAGATTTGAAGATAATTGTTTTTTTTTTAAAGTTGAGGTTAAATGTAAGTTTTCAAATTTGACATTAGTCACAGTTGCATAAAGTTATTTACAAGGTATATTTCGGAACAATGATCTACTTTGGGCAAATTTTCCAAAAATATTTATAAAATAGGAACAAAAGCGGCAAAAAAAATATATATCAGAGTTTAACACATTAAACAAAAAACATATAAAGGAAATTAGGAAAAGTAAATAAATAAAAAATATACAGTTCACAAGGTCAAGATATACGTTGTCTGTAACTATATAATTATACTTCACTGTGACTTCCTAAACAGGGGAAAAATTAAGAAAACAGAATAGAATTATAGAATTATAGAATTATAGAATTATAGAATTATAGAATTATAGAATTATAGAATTATAGAATTATAGAATTATAGAATTATAGAATTATAGAAATATAGAATTATAGAATTATAGAATTATAGAATTATAGAATTATAGAAATATAGAATTATAGAATTATAGAATTATAGAATT